ATGTGTTTTGTGCCCCAAACTTACCAAACATAGAAATATTTTAGTTAAATAGTTAAATTTCAACTAATAACCTTTTAAAATATTACATATACACTTTCAACTATCCAAAGATGTTTTACCAAAATATGAGACTACTACCTTAAGTAAATTTGTCATCAATGAACACAACTGAAGGGTAAGAAACAGTCAGTTGTTGTAGTTGTCTACACGTATGTTGAATAACAGTCTATCTTATTAATTTTAAATTTGTAAATTAATTGTCTTTCCTCTTTTTATACTTGTATATTGTATATTTTTATGTACATGCAGTAACCATGCAGTCCAAAACAAATTTCCTTTCGAGGACAATAAAGTATACTACTACTACTTGTGGAATCCTGTCGAGTAATTCTGAAATCTGACAGGTGTTCTGCAGACGGGGCAAATTTTGAAAACTTATTTAAATAGACAAACCTTTGTGAACTGAAAGAACCCAGTAAACAGTTCCTTTGGTTGTAACTAGTTTCTTTTCAGACAGATCTGGTGGCGTAGGACCTGGACAGTAAGGGCACTTTGTTTCCTCTGGTGAGAACTTCTGGGGGATATTTGGTGCAGTGTTTTGCATTTCCTCTGGCAGTTTTGGAGGGATTCTTTTGGAGCTCCACATGTATTCAACTATCTTTCTTATTTGCACTTAAGTTATATGATCTTCCTTTTGAAAATGACCTGCCTCCATCTCGTCACCATCTAGATCATCATCTGTGTCACTGGTACAGTCCATCTCCCTGTCACTGTCCTGAAATGTCCAGCACATTGATACGTAAATGTGGACACACATTCTTTTCTTGTTACCTTTGCAAAGACATGTCCATGTTCCACTGTCATTGTCCAGTGTAACTTGCGTTCTTCCAAAAATGCACCAACTGTCTACCTTTGCTGTGTAAACGGAAAGTAGACTTTACGGCCAGAGTATCCATGTTCCTCGGAAAACACTGGATAGACCCATGCAGTTCCATCTTGTGTGTTTTTCATTTAATTGACTACATTCTTCTTTTGTGGAACTGGAAATGATTCCCTTTTCAGCCATCTCCTTAATGGAACTAATCTGTAACAGAGGAGGTGGATTCTGAGGCTTAAAATATTTAACTCTTTCAAGATGCATGCACTCTCTGCCAGTAGCCATGGCCATGAATTCTCTGCAACTTGCTACTTCACAATCAAACATCTGCCTACTGAATGACTTGCACATGTGAATTATGGTTCGGGGTCCAGATTTGTCTTGGGCTGTAACAAAAATTCCTTTATCTTCATCAACCAGGAATATTGGATCCGTAACCTTTTGGTGTTTGTCTAATCCATGCTTTCTCAAGGTAGCTGAGGTAGAAAAAAACGCATTACATGTTGAACACTGAAAGGATTTGTTTTTTTGTTTGGCTGAGTCCGATGGGTTGTCTTTCACATGTGTTGATTCTGGAGAAAAGGGGGGGGGGGCAAATACATTACAGGGTATATGTGGTATTTTCTTTGCTCAAATATTCAACATGTCATTTCAATACACTATAATAAATCCACTGTGTGTTGACACTTTTTTAGAAATGCATCCAATACTTAGTTAGGTAACTGTCTATAACCTATGATGCATTATAATTAACTTTTTTTTTTAATGGGATTTGAAGGCAGCTACAATTCCAATTTACCCTTTGGGGATGATTAAGTTTTTTCTTTAAAAACATACCTTTGAAAAATTTGTTTTCCTGAAGAATCAACCCTGTCAATTGAGCAAAAGATTTAAATTACTGTAACAGCATACTAATTCTTTGAGCATAGCATTATTAGATACAAAAACTTGAGACCTTTGCTGTGAGCCAGCCATCACAATTTTTTAATAAATATGTCATACTAATAATATTTCTTTATCAAGCCAAGGCACACTTATTTTATTAAAATTACTCTAGTTTACCTGCTTGGTAACACAATGAAAGATAATAAGAATAACTATAACAATTAATTTACAGGTCTTCGGCACTTCAAGAGCGTAGGTAGCCTAAGCCGCTGTCAAGACAAAACAGCAGCTTTGATCAGACAAATAAAAGGTATGGGCAGTAGATGTAGTAGTTTACTGGACTTTCAGGAAAGTCTTTATGCCTTGACTATATTCAGGGGTTAGGAGAAAAAAAAGGTGGGAAGGTGGGGGGTTAACAAATTAACTGTTTTTAGAATGAACATGTTTATTAACACAAGTGTTACAGATAACAGACAATAGCTGTGCAAAACGGACAAATGGGTAAAGTGCACTGTCTATTCCCAGATTCAGATTCAGTGCTGATGTGTATTAATAAAGTGGGTCTACTACTATTGATACAAAATACAGGCTATTTTATTTTTTTATGGCTAAAATATGCAAGAATATTTTCCATAGACATATAATTATCTGAAGGGAAAACATCTGGGTTGGTCTTTATTTTGAATATCTTACCATGATTTTTAAGGTGATGTTCAAAATAGTGCTTTCTCTGTATTGTGGTTTTGCACTTGGGACAGTGCCATTGGCTTCTGTTTGTTGGCTTCAGCTGGCAGTGACATGGTATGCAAAAACTATGGAGAAAAGAAAATTTAAACGGTGACAAAATAAACACATATTAGGCCAACAACACAGGCTGCTCTGATAAATATCTGGCACAATTTGAACTAAGATTGACTGCTATGGTAGCCTAATTCTACTAACCAACTTCATCATCGCAGAATCAGACAGAATACTTTACATGGACTTTGTTCATATGGTCTCTGGTTGCGACTGTGTCAACTTTACATAATTGGCAATGACTGTCTTCTGCTTTGTAGAAATCCTCCAGCTTTGTGAAAGCAGTGTTTACCTCTAAATATTGGAACAACTTGGTATAATTACTGGTATACTGACATTGACTTAAAAATATTTTAAATATGTCCCAGATACTGTTCAAAATACATACTAAATGAAACCATGTGGTTTACCTAATATAAGCCAATATGGAACATCCAAAGTGACAGAACTGAATGAAAGAATAAATAAATAAATGTGGAAATAAATGCAAGAAAGAATGAATGAATAAAATAATAAATAAATAAATGCGGAAATATATCAAAGAATGAATGAATAAAATAATAGATAAATAAATTCAGAAATACATCAAAGAAAGAATGAATTAATAAAAGAATAAATACATACATTTGCTTTTGCCTTTCCCCAAGGAGACCTATTGTCATTGCTTTTCCCTTAGAGATCTATTGTCATTGCTTTTCATTCCCCTTCCTTAACTGTCAATCAACGTGTTGTGGCCCGCCCACTAAGTCCAACTAATCACTCACAGAAGTATTTCTCTCCATGATCAGAGATGTATAAAGGTTTGATACACACTCCATACCAGTTGGTGGCGGTAACGCACCAATTCGTTGTTTGCCAACTGACAATAAAAGCACAAGGAAGAAGAAGAAGAAGAAGAAGAAGCTAATGTTGGACAGAACCAGCACATGTCAATGTGATCTAAATGCAGAAGTCCATTTACCGGAGATAACTGTAAGAGAGAGAGGGAGAGGAAGAGGGCGGAGAGGCAGAGGTGTTGGAGGTGCAGTCAGGGCAAGGAGAGGCAGAGGACCTACCTAGATTGATGGCTCAATAGAGGACGAAGAAAGAGTGGAAGCCCTCCAAAGGAACCCGAGGGCTGTTAACGAGGTTTGTATTTATACGGTTGTTGTAACGTTATTATATTCTGACCTATTTGCACTTTATGACAAACCCCAGCACACAGTGATAACGTTATTTACATAGCAGCTCTGTGCACATGTACCCCTGGTACTGTAACGTTAGATAGTAGTAACATGTCATTTACTGGGCAACAATGATTATATGAAGCCATATTATACAAGTTGAGCAAACACTGGCCAGCCTGCAACCCTAATATGCAGTATATGTTGCCAACATATTGTCATGCAACTTATAAAGCCTTATTTTATCAGAATCACAAATTCTTTATTGATAGCCAAGGGGAAATTCTTGGTCACAATTGCTAAGCTTGCATGTCAATTAAATATAAAAATTATAAAATCTAAATCTAAATAAAGGTAATGTGGACATGTAAAGTAATTTACAGCATCAACAGAAGTGTAATGATAAATAGTAGTAGTGCATTAAATATTAATAGTAATAATGAGTACCGGTATATTTCATTTGGAATGGATACAATCTTAAAAACAACATCGAGACAGAGTAACCAGAGTATTGAAGCAGAGAATATTGCATATTGAGTATTTTTCCCTGTGTCCTCTTTCTTCAGACTTCTTCAAGAGATGACCCTTGAAGAACACAGAGCCCTCCACCCTTCTGCTGGAGAGGCAGCCAGGCCTGGTCTTTGATGCCTTCATGATGCATCAGCGCAGACATGGTGCCCCACCTTCTGCCGGAGTGCCAGGAGTACCTTGGTGTACTTGTGGTAACTGTAGGGAAATGCTTTGGCCAGGAGCAAGCGAACTGTGTGAGCCTACTGCCACACTTCTCCCAGTACTGCCTTGAAGAAGGCTTTATTCGCATTCACAGGCAGTACCGGGAGGACATTACGGCATTAGGCAACATCAGGGAGCCTGGGGATGACAACAGAGAGTCCCTCTATGGTGCCTATAGACACTTCATCTATTGGCAACATGGAGCTTTAGGCCAGGGAAACCAACTTGTCGTCCCTAGTTGTTGTGTTTGGAGGATTAGAGACAAGTTTCCTGATCCTCAAGGACAGTACCTGGACTGTGAATTTCCTTCCAGGCCCTCTGGTATGGTCATACAGTTTCACACAATACTCACAAACCTGCCTCAGCATCATCAAGGCATCAAACAAATGTACATAGTTAACATTTGATTTATTATTACATTTCTATATATATTTATTCATATTTCTCCCCTCTTTATTTAAATTTGATGTATGTTGTATAGTTATATTGTGTTATAGTTGTTCAACTGCAGTTCTATGGTATCGAAAAAATAAAAAGGTAAGAAATAGAAGCACATGGTGTTTTTATTTTCATTATATACATTTGAACATGTGTTTAGAATTTCAAACTTTGCCATAACATTTCCAATACCAATTTTAGTTACTTATATTTACATAACAGGGGACAGGTGTAGCCTTACTTATCATTACTGTTCAAATTGTAAACTGTAATTTAGGCTACCTACTGAAAATAATATGCGCTGGTCACAGTGGACTTAGCAGAATAAGATGAAACGTGTACAAATTGGAAAAACATGAAATAACCACTGGAGGAGGGTAGGAACAGAATTTAATGTTAATAAATTTCTCTTTTTGAAGAGTAAAAGCTATGACTTTGTCAGTGAACTGAAGTTCTTTCCCTTGTGATCCTGCTTGACAAGTACCAGGACACATGCAAGGTGATCTCCTGTGGGGATCCTTCCACATCAGATGCTGGTTGGAATAACGGTCCTGTTGAAGACAGTGCCATCAAACATAGTAACAGACTATATTGTAATGTAAATATCATTCAGTGACATGTAATACGGTACAACATAGGCAACAAATTTGTGTTACATACCTAGACCTCTTCTGACTTGTTTCTGCAACAATTCTGATGTGGCTGGTGCAGGTACGGGGGGCACCAAACCAAGCTGTCTGGGGTCATCTGGGAGAAGGCTCCTCCTTCTAGGCATCCCCACTCCACTTGTGAGTCTGTTCTTCACAATCCTTCTTTGCAACTCGGAAATGTATCCGTAGGTTTTTTCAGATTTCAAGGCATACCGTTCTTCTTATACAATCTTCTGAAACTGAAATTACACAAATTACAACCATTTAATATCAGTTTGTACGTAGAACAAGAGAAAACCTTGAGTGTAAAGACAATCAATTGCATATAAAACATGGACTGAATATTGTACTATGAATGGGAATATTATACAAGTGTAAAACGTACATCTCTTTACCGTCCAACGTTTTTCATTGTTGGTCGGTTCCGGTGGAAACTGTAGTCCAAAGCAGCAAGCAGAACTCTTGCCGCATAAACTGGGGGGCTGAAAGCAAAGTGCTTGCTGGCATACATCAGGATATGATTCTGGAATGACTCTAGGTCTGCAGTCGATCTGATAGAACAAACAAATACATACTTCTGTGTTCATGAGCAGTAAGCATAAATATTACTAATATACATCATTCTGAAAAAGTATAGCCACACTACCTGAATTGCAGATAGTTGTGAACATCTTTCTGCCACCTCTTATCGAGAACTATATCCACTAAAGCTTTGTGGCACTGGGAGTCTCTCTGGATCCACATCTTTCCCCGCATTTGATCCGATTCAAGGTGCCCGTGTTTGCAACTTCCCATAGTCCAGGTGTGAATGTTGCAGATATGGTGAAGGATGCCAACCCATAATGCCTGCAAAACATAAAAATGCACTATAAATATCTCCTTAATATAGCAATGAATGAAATTACTCAAAGATATAATAAAATTGTGTGCTTACAAGAAACTGCCGACGTGTGTCAGCAGTCTTGCAACACCACCGAAAATGGTTGACTATGTCCTTCAACCAGTTGAAGAGGATGGACTCTCCTTTTATCTTTTGCTTTATCTGTAAAATACAGGCATTCAACTATAGTCTGTGTGTAGAGATGAAAGTGTAAATGTTCAACACCCCCCCCCCCCCAAAAAAAGAAAACACTAAATGACTACACCAAATGTCTAGAATGAGTAACACATCTTCTGGCAGAGGAAAGTAAACAAAATCTGTTGTCTTTGAGTACAATGAAAACTTCCATACTGTCATCCATCAACTGCACATAGTTCAATAACCCTGATGTACAGAATAGTAACTTTATGGTTAATAATTGTTTCACAACATTAGCCAGTTATTACGCTTACTGCTGCAATTTTTTTGGCAAGGTTCTTTGCACCATGCCCTATGTCCAGACAGTGATGAATTCCAAGGGCCTTGTATTTGCCTTTGTCTGGGTCTATGAAGTGGTAAATAATATCATGTTACTATAATATTTATATTGCTGTTATACACACGCATCTATACAATATATCACATGAATACTACTCATAAGGGCACCAATCTGGGCATGAGCATCTGTGCAGATCTCCACTAGCTTTATCTCTGATGTAAGCTTGTCCAGTCTGGATGAAATCCTCCTTCTCCAAGACGACAGAGTTCCATGATGTTTGCCACTTGTCTATGGTGGCAACATGAATGATCTCCTTGGTGTCATTCTCCATGGTGGTGTAGCTGCAGTATTGTGCACATTGACCAGGAGAGTCATTTCTGCCATCCATTGAAATTTTTTTAAATATAATTCAACAGAAAAACAGTTATTAGTTGTTTCCATACTGTCACTGCTTAGTGTATTCAATAGCTATGTTACATAATACAGTATCAACTACACACCTAGGACAACAACATCTTTCCCTTGAAGGCGACAAAGAACCTCTGTCCTTCTCTCTTCCCAGAAGTCCTTTATTGTATTGACGCAGTAACTGTCCTGAATGGAGAAGAAAGTGTTCCTGTTCACCATCCCCATGTTCATGAATTTGAACAAGAGGGCAACCTTTGCGTAGTTGTTGCCAGACAACAAAATGTTGGTGTACAAGAGAAAATCTCCAGCTTGCATCCCAAACTTCATCACAGGCTGGGAATTCCACCTCCACAAGCTGTCTCCATTAGGGCAGATCTAAAAGTCACAGAGAAGAAACATTTGCTTTTGTCATGTACAGCACTGGCTTTTGGTATAACCTTTCATTTTATACTAATTTAAAGTTGTGATATTCTGTGATTGTCTGGACTTACCCATTCGATAGTAGCTGCTGTGCCCTTGGTGGTGATGTTGATCTCAAAGGGTGCAACACAGTTGCACGGCGCACCAGTCCTCAGAAGGCCAGTGCATTTATCCACAGGCAGGATCAGAAATGTAGCCAGTTGTCTTAAGCAGTTCTCGTACACTATGGAGGCTCTGACACCTATGATGTCATCTTCACAAAGGACATTCTGTGGTTCTGGGAAAACAAGGTCATGATCACAGGGAGAAGGCTCATCAGGAGTATCTTCATGTGCAGGCAAGGAAGTCCATCGATAGAGTGTGCTGTCTTCAGTGCTCCACCCATTCTATTGAGGCACAAAAATCTGTAGTAAACAAACACCACAAAACAATTGCAAATTGAGACTGACAAATAAGACACCGTATAGAAATCGGTTGAAGATCCTCTTCATCAGAGCTGAAACCATTCTGTCCATCATCTCTTATAAGGGAGTAAGATGAAGCTTCATCTGCCCAATCAATTCTTTACATAATGACAACTTTCAGATAAAAACAAGTTCTCAAATAATATCACTGAAAAATAATACATGTAATTAGGAAGTACTACTTACACACTGTTCATTGGGTCATTGAAAACATTTTCCTCCAAGTCCTCCTCAACAATGCTCAAGTCATGTAAGCTGCAAAAAACATATTACAAATATATATTATGAACATTTGGAGAAAAGCCATATAGGGCTAAAAGTTATGATGTGTACATGTTACCTTTGTTCAAGGCCCTGAATTTCTGTGGCTTCTGGAATGACATCAAGATGCTCATCTCTGTAAAGAATAACCAGAGCAAGTTGTGTAAATCCCACATATGCTCATTCAACAGTAGATATAGACCAAAAATAAAATAACACACTATTACACACTAATCATAAAGTTCATGTTTCTAATCAAAGCTATTAGGACAAAATTAATATATTGTTATGCATGACTTACCGGTCTGTTCCACTAGAAGCAAGTTTTCATTTGCAATGCTAAAGTTGGAATACCTTATCTGTCCATCAGAAAACAGGCAACTTCGGTGTCGCTTTGAAAATTTTTTCCCTCATTAGACCCTTCTATCTGGGAAAAGCCACACCGATGTTTACGCGTGATTTCTGCCTGCGTCGCTCCCGTATAAGTCTGGCTTCATCATGCTTTTGCTTCTTCAAAGCAGATTCACCCTCCGTCGGCTCTTGTGCTAAATAATAGCTGTGGTCCTCCATTTGTCCAAAATTCCACTACTAATAAAGGAGAGCTTCTACTACTAGTAATTAGAAACGTACAACTTCTTCTTGCTCTTGCTCCTACTTCTTCTGCTGCTACTTCTTCTGTTGCTTCTCTTTCAAACAAGACACAATATGTCGACCTCCACAGCAGGGGGTGCCTCGTGTATGTAGATATAAATAGCTCATTCTAAGGTAATGAAAACACAAGGGTTCATAATGTAAGGTCTTTATACACCACTGAAAACATAGTTATGGATATTATATTGCATTTCTGTCAATATATCCTCAGATATATTATACACTGAACCTTTAACTAGTAACTATAGGCTATTTATGTTATATTAAGTTGTTGCAGTTAAACTGCCATCATTTTAATTAACACCTAAAACACTGCTGAGTGTGCAACTGTGTGTACACGTTGTCACAGTTAGCCATGGTTTTCGTTCACTTTCGGTGTCGGAAGTTTCATCTGGGAAATATCCTAGTTCCGATCGGTCTTGAACACAGCATAACTCCTTCTAAACTTTCTACCAATCATAACACTCTTCCAGGGACAGCATATCCACACTGAAGAAAGTATCAGTATTCGGCTGCTCGACCTGACTAAGTGGGCGGGCCACAACACGTTGATTGACAGTTAAGGAAGAGGAAGGAAAAAGCAATGACAATAGGTCTGTAAGGAAAAAGCAATGACAATAGGTCTCTAAAGGAAAAGCAATGACAATAGGGCTCCTTGGGGAAAAGCAAAAGCAAATGTATGTATTTATTCTTTTATTCATTCATTCTTTCTTTGATATATTTCTGCATTTATTTATTTATTCTTTTATTCATTCATTCTTTCTTTGATATATTTCCCCATTTATTTATTTATTTATTCATTCATTCTTTCTTTGATATATTTCCCCATTTATTTATTTATTCTTTCATTCAGTTCTGTCACTTTGGATGTTCCATACAGCCATAGCCATCACGTTGTCCACTTTCAACTATAAGGCAAACAAATAATTATTAAGACCGCTCTATTGAGGGAGGGCTGTCTGTATCATGTAAAGATCTATTAGCCTATAACAAGATAACAGAATTGATAGTTATTAGAGGAGGGGCCTGCAACCCATATTAAGAAGTTACTGTTTAAGGCAGGACCCTTTATTCATGTAACTAGTGATGTATTTGAGATTTGGGTCGATATTGCTTACATGTCTTATTTTACTCAAATGGAAAGAAAACTCCCTAAATACACATGTATTATTTTAATTAACATAATTAACATAATTAACATAATTTGTGTATCAATGTGGCAATTGTGAAAACGTTATTAGGCACGTGTTACTGTATTTTCCTGTAGTGTTTCCATTAGGTACTGTACATTAGCCTGTATGGCCATGATATATTGCCTTAGCTAACTATATCCATTACATTAGCTAGTAGCTCATGAGTCATGCATGTTAGCAAGACACAGACTAACTATATTTATCTTTTGGCTTTTGGCTAATTAGCTGTAAACTCGAGGCACTGGTAGCATAGACTTGACTAGACACGGTGGAAGAAAGAGGGAGAGAAAGTGTCATTTTGTTGTTTATTTGTGCACGTGTTTGGAAATGGTAACCAACGTTACCGTTAGTGGTAGCGACCAGTGGTCTGTGACAAGTGGTCTGTTGTAGCGACAGGAAAGCCCCGAAAACCTAAGATAGATAGAATTATTGCTGCAACAATAAGAATATAGACATAATCTATAATATAGTGTATTAAACATAACATATGATCTAACATTAGATAGATTTATTACTGTAGATAGGCTATAACCAAACAAACTGCAATATACAGTGCTACAATAAGAGTAGCCATAATCGATAATATAGTATATTTAACAAAATATGATCTAGAAATATTTTTCTCCGTAGATATCCACACAAACTGTAAACAGTGCAACAATAAATAACTCGATAATTTAGGTTATTTAATAGTCAAAGGTTTATGGTGTCCGACATGTAGACTTTCATCTATCAGTGCCAACACAGCCAGGAGTCCACAACCAATCATCCACGGACGACAACCTGTCCCGGCCAGTGCCCCAGTGGTCTGTGGGCAGCGACCAGTGGTTGGTGTGGCAGCGACCAGTATCAGCGCCACAGTGGTCTGTGGGCAGCGACCAGTGGTCGGTGTGGCAGCGACCAGTATCTTTAGCGCCCCTAGTTGTAGCGACCAGTGGTCTGTGTGGCAGAGACCAGTGGTCGGTGTGGCAGCGACCAGTATCTTTAGCGCCCCTAGTTGTAGCGACCAGTGGTCTGTGTGGCAGAGACCAGTGGTCGGTGTGGCAGAGACCAGTGGTCGGTGTGGCAGCGACCAGTATCTTTAGCGCCCCTAGTTGTAGCGACCAGTGGTCTGTGTGGTAGCGACCAGTGGTCTGTGTGGCAGCGACCAGTGGTCTCTGTAGCAGCGACCAGTGGTCGGTGTGGCAGCGACCAGTATCTTTAGCGACCCTAGTGGTAGCGACTAGTGGTCTGTGTGGCAGCGACCAGACCACAGCTACAACCCCCTCTCAGCTAGATTCAGACAGACTGTCACCTTTTTCAAGTAAGCTGCTCCTATATACGCCATCGATACTGTATCATGTCAGGGAAAATAATTCCTTCCCAAAGAATACGGAGAAAAATAGATGAGTAGAATAATTTCTTTATGTAACGTGGCCACGGAGAGAACGCACGGTTACTCTTCCAAACTCAGCATTTCCTCTCCTTAAGTACAGAACAAGTACAAAGCAAACAACAGCCAACAAATGGTAGATGAAGGAAAACAAATGGCAGAGTATTAGCATACAGCCAAAAAACTCTTCCTGAGGTAAGAAAGGAAATGCAAATGTATGTGGCATCTGTCTCTGTCTCTTGATTGGTCTATGTTAAAACTCTCACCTACATGCCAGCAGATGTTTATTGTAAATCAGACAATCTTTTGTTTAGGAATAAAAACCCTGTTAATTACAATGAAATCCTAAAAATCAGCAACTTATAATGCATTTCTCACATTCCCTCTAATCAAAATGGTAGGATTCACTTTAAAACTGTCTTAGTGGGAATAAAAATAAGGAGAACATTAGATGTTTGATGAATAGTTAAAACAATTAATTAGAAACAGAAAAGGAAAAGAAAACAATAAAAAATATGAAGGACTAGATTCGTAAAACCTACATCATCTGTACGTTAAGGCTGACCTAAATGTGTTGGGCAAGTTTTAAAAAATGTAGAATGATTTCAGAAAAACACTTAATACAGGGGTTAAAATAGCCTACATGCATGTTCATAATACCCTGGGGGCCAGAATTGGTCATTTACCCATTTGTTGGAAAGAAAACATGAACTAAAATGATACAATATGCATAAGAAAACCTGCATACAAAATAACAACAATAACACTAAAAAGAAATAAACAATCAAAAACAATAATTAAAAACATGGAAAAATAAACAAAAGAAATATACCAGCAGATCATCTTTGTAGTTCAAAAATCCTTTTTTTTTTTTTCTACAATTTGTAGGGAAACGTCTATCATCTTGTTGGGCTAGTGACCAGAGTTAAAGTACTCGTGCTGACCAGGACGATGGTGAACACTGCAACCGTTGTCTTTCAGCAGAATGTCTTGCAGCAGAATTTTTCCGTCCATCTTCATCTCTCAGGCTGTCTCGTGTTGGGATGCACGGGTTCACATGTTTCTCTCAGCTCTTCTGGGAGGAGACTTCCAGTTGAAGTTGTCTGTATCACCTGAGGTGATCTTGAATGTCTGGTGATGGTCTCACTGCTTTCTCTGCCCCCACTTCATCCTATGTAGTCTGCAGCTGACTCCTCTTCCTTCTGTTTAGTGTTGTGGATCTCAGGCCAACAGACTCTCAGGGGGAAAACCATTCGCACTGCATCATACAAGGTGTCCATCATGGCACCAAACTGAGTTAATCCCACTGATGGTGCTGTGGACCAGATGACAGGTCGAATATTGGCCCATCGGAGCTTGAAACACTTCCGACACACAGCTTCCACTTCCTGCAAAGTTGGATTATACATGGACAGCAATTGCTTCATTGATGTAACCCACTTCTCACCACCAGTTTTCTGAGGATTAGGGAGTTCTTCTGCAATTTCTCTTAGTTCATCTGGCTGCCATGGCCGTTACACAAACACTTCTGGATCCCAGTGGGCATGTTCCTGCTCTCCCGTTGGCAGTAGCTGTGCATCCCTTTCTTGTGTTTGGCTCCTGAGCCAGTAGTCAGAAGTAGCTGCGACTGGAGATAAAGTTTCTTGGGAAGAAAACAGTTAGTTTGGGTGTTCTTCCCATATTATCTTTGTTCAGTCACTGTTGTGTTGGGTGGAAACTCTTTCAGCCCTATGACACTTGCATGATGGTGCACTTTTTTCGTTCACAATTGTGTGCTAGCCACTGAAAATAGCTTATCACAGAGTTTTCTATATTTATCATCTCATACAGCACCCACAGATATTTTCCCTCCTTAGTGGAACATAATGTTTGAAACGAACACTTATCACATCATATCCATCCATCCATCTTCATCTGCTTATCCGGGATCGGGTCGCGGGGGGAGCAGCTCCAGCAGGGAACCCCAAACTTCTCTTTCCCAAGCCACGTTAACCAGCTCTGACTGGGGGATCCCGAGGCGTTCCCAGGCCAGTGTGGAGATATAATCTCTCCACCTAGTCCTGGGTCTTCCCG